AATCTTTAACAATTTTATCACCTTTTTGTTGTAGTTTTACCAGATGGCTTCCACATTTCTGTCACAAAATTTTTCTTAGGAGAATTGCAAAGTTTAAATGGCAGTTACATACTAATTCAATCCTCTAATCTGAGGGCTTTAATAGTAAACTGAGAAAACCAGCAGCAGGTTTAAGGGTGTGAGCTTGCATGCAATGTCAAATCTGGCCAAAGGAAAAACCAAAATAACTTGACTGTGTTTCTGTCAGGTAGGAGGAGAAGTGATGCACCATGATAGACTAGGTATGTAAGAAGAAACCTCATCGTGCTCTACAATGTTCTTTAAATCTCAGAGAGCTTGCCCAGGAAGCCTTCACTGCATGTTGAAAACAGGAAGAGTTAGGATTGGCTATGATGTCTCACCATGGCAAAACTGAAAATTTGAACCAGTTTTTGGAGCTTGCCAAGAAGATCTTAAATATCTTAGAGTTTTGCTGTGTTTTTATTAAAGATCTGCCTTGGAGAAAAACAATTCCATAAGTTAGTGATCTTAATGGCAAAGCTAAAAGGCAGACATTTCTATTTCAGCATTTTTAGGCTGAAGAGAACTCAAGTCTTTCAGAAATTTTGAGCAAGTTTGGATAGCTGCATTTTGGATTGCAGTTACTTCTGTCCTGATGATAATTTTTGGTCTTGCAAGTGGATTCCTTTTCCCTAACAATTTAAATGTCCTTCCAAATCTCATGTTAGAATAGCAAAGTAAATGAGGAATTTATGGAACTAATTCCCAATACAGCAAGTTGATGAGGCTGGACAGTCTCTTTCACAAATGGGAAAAAAAAAGACCAAGAAATGTGATGAATACTTTGAAGTTCAGTGAATTTTCTATTAACAAAAACCCCAAACCATGAAGACAACAAAAACATGCACATAGGGCTTGTTGTTTGATTTTTTATTCATTATTTTCAGCTACTGCTTTTGCAATTCAATTACCCTTGTTATACTTCTCTCATAATTTACTAACTTCACACACAAACACACACACACACATATATATATAAACTTGGGTTTATAACAAGCTGTCTTTTCTTTTGTTTTAAAAAAATCTCCTGGTACAAATAATGCTTTTTAAAAGCTTAGAATTGATTTCTAAGTCCTGCATGGTCTGCTGTCCTTCCAGCACACTGAGGTCTAACACTTATTCACACTGATGCAGTGCCAGAACTCAGCTGCTCTTGGGGAGCACAGGGCAGAGAGATTAGTTCGCTCTGTGGGACACAAGATCATTTTGCTGGGGTGATTTTGAAATGAAAGCAGTAAGATGTGATAGACAAGGCTGATTTCTTGCTGAGTAATGCAGTGCAAAAGACACAATGCACCTGCCCTTTCATAACAACTTCCCAGTGCTCCAGTCCTACCTCACAGGACTCTTTATTTCTCCAAATACTGAGTTCACAGAAGCCTGACAACCCTGGCTAAATCAAAACAGTCTGAAGCTTTGCCACAGGCTTTGTTCACTGATGTGAAACTCAGCTTTGATACTATCACAAACAAAGGACAGATAATAAATACCAAAAAAGCTAATAGAAGACACCACAAAACAAAAAACAAAACAAAACAAAACAAAACAAAAAAAACCCCCACAGAATACAACAATAAAACCAAAACAAAACAAAGGACTGAATGGAAATAACTGCTCCTCTGACCTCAAACAGATATGACAAAAGGAAAGAGAGTAAGAACTGTGTTTTTCAGCTCTAGAGAAAAGATATAGAAGTGTTCACACATGGAAAAGATCATCACAGGGGACAGAAAATGTTCTGTCACATTTGGGGCAGGATAATAACCAAAGGGTTTATGATTATGACAAAAGGTCAGGGTTTGAATAAAAGGTTTTATTGAGCAAATTGTCTGGAGAAGGTGTGGTTCTACCATCACTGGATGTTTTTTGAAAGAATTCATGCAAGACTGAAAATGTTAACAGAATTTGTGAAGACTGGTATGGAGAAATCTGATCTGGATGTCAACTGGTAATTTTATTTCTTTCCACCTTATAAATAGATCTATTAATCCAACATCACAGAAGGAGTCTCTCAACTGAATATTTTTGAGCTCCCCACATCTGCACATAGTGTTGGCAAATAAGACAGTGCCAAAGGTAGAAAATTAGAGCATCACAGAAGCTGCAGCCTTGCTCCACTGCTGAGCTATTTTCTGTACTGATTGATGAGGCAGTCCTGCAAACCAAATTATGTAGTGCTTTTTTCCCCAATTGAGATAATGGAAGTTCTTCAAAACAGACCCAGTTCTCCACTAAAATGGATCTCTCTCAGATGGATTTAGCCCACAGGAAGAAAGGATATAGTTTGAAATTCAGACATGGATCAGTTGAGTAGAGAAGGTACAAGACTTGTGGGCTCATTATGGAGAAATCTCAGCTCTTAGTGGCAATTCATGAAGTCATTTTCTCCTTTGTTGCTCATCTAGATCTCCAGATAATGATACTGAAATATAGCAAAGAACCAATTATGACTTCAACTGCTCAAAGAAAATGATATATGACTTCTTCTAACCTAGACAGCACGAACTGCTTGAAGTGTCCAGAAGGAAACATAGTCAGAAATATTCTGTATACACAGAGAATGATTACATATCAGTATCTTCTCATAAGCTGTGAACATGCCTAATGACCATAGGTACAACTCTTTGTCAGCAGGCAGAGTTGTACCAGAGGTAATGGGGTCACGCTTCATTGGCCAAGAGCTTGATTTGACCTACAGACTTATGGCTCCCAGAGAATCTGCTGGGGTTGTCAGTCTAAACTTTCCAATCCTGACAGCCTCACCTTGTAGAAGTTATCATGTTATTTCTAACACTTCTCATTTCTGTTTGCTTTCAGTTGAAAGGAAGATGTTTTGTGCACCTGCTGAGACATTGAGATACATGCTGTGGCTTGGAACTATCCACACAAAAACAGAATTTCTAAGTTTACAGCAGTCAGCTATAAACTTATAAATCCCTTTGGCTGCCTTTCTGGGAAATTGATGTTATCAAAGGGGAAAACAATTACTTTAATTGCTGTGTATGAGACCTGATATCTTTTGATGCCTTCAAACACTACACCAATATCAGCAATGAACACCTGATAATAGAGGCAAGTTGTTTACAGATGTGCTGTACAGACAGCTACAATTACTCAGTAATGACAGCAGTTCACATAAATACATCAGAGATTTAATAGGCCAAAAATCTATTTCTTCAGCTACCAAGAGAGAGGAAAAATGCAGATTCCTCCTAGTCAAATTTCTATTAGAATCACATTTTTAACCCTGCACAGTCAAAAAATGCAAGACGACATTCACTCCATGGAATAAAGTTATTGCTAAAGTTAGGGGAACTTTCTCTGGGCACAAGAAAGTTCCCTCTTGAACCAGTGATAAGCTGAAAGGGAGTGGGTACAAACTCCATGGCAAAAGCATTCTGGTAATATTTTTGTACACATTTAGATAATGTCACCCCCAGAACTTGCATGTAAGTGCCTACAAAGCACCAGTGTTGAAGAACTCCCCAAGAACATTCTAGAAACCCAGAAGTGGGGCACTTCTGTCATACTACTGCTACAATATGGGGAATAAGCACATTGAGTTTCCAAAGCTACATTCACTTTAAGACAATTGTGCTTAAGACTAGGTCACAAAACCTGACCCAAATGCTAGCTTCTAATAAACTCCATAGCAAAGGTGACATTTTCTTTACTTGGATTGTGCAACTATAGGCAAAAAAAGGGAAGCAGAACTTCATGATGAGCCTGCAGCATAGTATTTATGTCATTCTCATGGGAGTACACAAGTGTGTGAACACCTTTTCATCTCAAATGTTTCTGTAAAGGAAGTAAAGAACCACAGAGAAGAGGATGTACTCTGTATGGTGAAGTATCTTTTGCTATGTAATGTAGCTAGTAATATGAAATAATGTAAGACATAAATCATAGCCATAATGAAGCAAAGGTACTTTGCATGTCTTTTTTCATGTATTTACTTATTAATTTACTTTCTTGGATTTTAAGGTTTGTGATCTCCTGCTGATGTAGGCAATTATGCATCATTATATGGGAGAGAATCAGAGCCAGGCTGTGTACTAGCTTACGGATAATAAACAGTAATGCCAGTTTGCCAAAAGATGAATTTACTATGCAATTAGTAATTTATTAGTAATTATTGATAATGTATGTGGTCAGTCCTGCTTGAAGAATTAAAATTAAAATTGTTTACATTTCTGATTTTAGAGATGCAGAAGTTTTGTCAAATAGAAGCCCATAGAATTCTCCCATTGAAAAGGCAACAAAAAAGGAAACTAAAGTTGGATAGATTTTATACCATGTACTTCTTGAAAAAAAAAACAAAAAAACAAAAGAAAAAAAAAACCCTCAGGACCTCTGAAGATTGTCTTCCCACGGTTATATTCCGGTTCATCTCTAGCACAGTGTGAAGGAGTCAAAGTGTCAGGCAGGACCATAGGAACTACTGCGCATCTCTCCTGCTTCTGAATCCCACATCCCGTGAAAAATGCTTTTTCCTGGCAAGATTCTAGAATCATAAATGAGTTTGGGCCGGAAGGGAACGGTGCCGGGGCCAGGCAGGCGCTGAGCTCTCAGACCCAGCACGGGCAGCAGGTGCCACCTGCAGCTGGGATCTCTCTCCCCACTGCTGCGCTGCCGGACCGCGGGAAGAGACGTGACTCCATGAAATCTCACAATTCTCTTTGCAGTGCTCCAGCTTCCCACTTTTCATCATTCCTCTCTGCTGCTCGCAGTACCTGTTTCTTGCTGCCCGGATCGAGACGGGCAGGGCTGTAACTCTCAGGATCGAGCAAAGGAGCGGTGCCGGCACATCCCTCCTACACGGAGCCAGCAGCGCATCCCGCCGCTCCGGGAGCCGCACCGCCACGGCCGGGCTGGAAGAGGTCAGCGCATCCTTGCTCCGCCTTCACAGCGCTCTGCCCAGTCGGGAAGGGGGCGCGTTTCGCTTTCGCGGAGCACACCGAGGGCACCGAGGGCACCGGCTCCCCCCGAGAGCAGGACCCTCGCAGTCCGAGCGCTCCCGACCCAGAGGCGCTGCGAGGAAGGCGAGCGGGCAGCAGCTCCGGGCTCCCAGGGCAGCGCTGCCACCCTGGGATGGCTGGTCACTGGGGCAGCCCGGGGCTGAGCGCTGTGCCCGCCCGGCGCTCCCACCGTGTGGCAGGAGGGAAGGGGCAGCCCCTGGGACACCTGGCTACTGGCTAAGCCCTTGGTAACCTTCCTGTGTTCCCATCAGGGTGCCTGTGGGAAGCATATTTGAGATTTCAGCGGTTGGACATGCCAGAGGAGAAAGCCTTGCAAAGAGCAGAGGTCTCATCTATTTTCCCCCACTTCCAGGTCATCCTCACCACCACTGAGCTTAGCCATCCTCTCCTGTAGCCATGGAGAACTCCTCCCTCTCTGAAATCAATTCATCATGTGCAGACTGCTCTGGAAGAGGACATGGGAGTCTGAGTATGTCCACTACTCCAGTAAGCCCCAGGTACTACATCACAATGCCTGTCATCTACTCAGTCATCTGTGTCATGGCACTGACAGGCAACACTGCTGTCATCTATGTAATCCTCAAAGCACCAAAGATGGTAACCAACATCTTCATCCTCAACCTGGCCATAGCTGCTGAGCTCTTTACCTTGATGCTGCCCATCAACATTGCTGACTACCTGCTCCTGCAGTGGCCCTTCGGAGTAAGATGGGCATCTCCATAGACCAATACAACATTTTCTCCAGCGTCTACTTCCTCACTGTCATGAGCATTGACTGCTACCTCACTGTGGCAGCCATCACCAAGTCCAGGAAGGTGTCCTACTGCACCTACCGAGCAGCCAAGATTGTGAACCACTGTGTCTGGTCCTTTGTCACTGTCATCATCCTGACCTTTGCTGTCTTTGCTAAGATACACAAGGAGCAGGGGTGCTCCCACTGCATCTTTGTATTTCCCCACCCTGAGAGTTTGTGGTGGAAAGGCAGTCAGATCTACACCCTTATTTTAGGCTTTGTCATCTCAATGTCCATCATCTGCGCCCTGTACACCACCATGCTGCGCAGACTGAGACATGTGCAGCTCCACTGCAATGCAAAAGCTCTGGACAAAGCAAAAATAAAAGGTGTCACTGATGGTGGTTGCTACCCTGGGTGTGTGCCTTTTCTGCTGGATGCCCTTTCACCTTAGCATGGTGGCGGCCATCATCATGGACATCCCACAAACTCCACTTGTCATTGGGATTTCCTATTTCATCACCAGCCTAAGCTATGCCAACAGCTGCTTCAACCCTCTCCTGTACACCTTTCTGGATGAAAGTTTCCGGAGGAGCTTTTGCAGACTGCTAGATCGCAGAACCACCTCATAAAGCTAACTCAGTCCTCTGTCCTGCGTCCCTCTCATAGTCACCTGCTTTTCCTGGGTGATTCCAACCCAGAGAGTACCTCTCTCCAGTCTCCTTGTGATGGCTCCACAGGGTTTCAGGTTGTCTCACTACCCAAGACATGAACTGGGGCAAGGTGGATCTCACCTATCCTGCACTCATTTCCTTGGGGCTGCTTTTCCTTGCCCTGTTTTTTTGTTAGTTTATTTGTTGTTGTTGTTTTTTAATTCCTTCTCTCTAATTCTCTTTCTGACTTGGGTTTGGAGCTCACAGAGCTGCCAGGGGTCCCTTTTCCCTTTTCAAAAGCATTGCTTTGTGAACTCAAGCCACACGACTGTCTCAGTCATCAGTGATTTGTAAAGTCCAATAAAAGTGTGTTACCAAGTGTCTTGCTTAATAATACCACAGCCTCTTTCCTACCTACTGGACCTGCTTACCAAAGTCCTGTGAACTTACTAACAACTCCAAAGGAATTAAAGAATAAACAACTCCAAAGGAGATAAGAAATAAACAAAGATATTGAGCTCATGTCATTTTACAGGAGGGTAAGATAAGGTAGTCAAACTCCATGATAACATGCAAGATAGTCTCAACACAAAGGAAAAAAAAAAAACAAGCCCTCCCTAGTGAATAAAAAACACGGATATGAGTTTGGAGCCACTTAAACAGAAAATAGCTTAATTTAAATAGTGCACTTGGTCATTGTAATTTGCAAAAAAATGCAGCTTTTGTTTGTATCAGAAGTGGTGATTATTATTTGTCATGTGTTTATGGGCTGTTGCACTTATGGATGTTTAGTTTGTGGTCCCAGAAAACAGAATCAAAGGGTATCTTCAGAACCAGTTACCTTTTAAGGATTTAAAAATATCCTTCTGAAACATGGGAATATCCTGAATTCTTCCCTTAGAAATCACAAATAACTTGCAGTGTTTAGGCTACTTTTAAACTCTCTCACACATACTTCCACTTTTTGGTAAGATTTATTAATATTTCTCTTAAGAAGGAGAAGTGGAATAAATAAATTTTTAAAAAATTCCAAAAAAGATAAGTGAATTTTGCCTGAAGGAGGAGAGAGAGGGTGAATGAAAGTTTCACTAGAATTCACATGTCCAAACACTGCACAAGGAGGTTGCTTCCTCCAGTCTCATCTCCTCTTTTAGTCCTCTAAGGAAAACTGCAAAAATGTTGAGGACTGAGAAAGTATTTGCAATCAGTTAATATTTCCCATCTTAGTGGTCTTCACTGTGCTTCCCTGCAGCAGATTCTAAATCAGTGTAACACAGTTTTGGTTAGATATTTTCCCCTTCACTGAATACAGAGAGATAGGGAGGTGTGGTTAAGGATTTGCATTTCCACCTACACAGGAGGTCATGACGGCTTTCAGGAGGTGCATAAGGATTTGAATGGTACATGAAGGTCACTCCTGTGAGACTTTGCACCAGGTTCTTTCCCACTGCTACAGTTTAAAGTTCTGCCATAGGCATGTGAAAGTTTCTTTCACTAAATCCTCCCACAAAAAAACTCCAAATAAAAATCCTGCTCACTGATTTTAGCAATTATGCACGCCTGATACTTTATAATAATATATAACTGGATTGATAATTAAATAATTTCTCCTTATAAGACATTCATATTCCCTGAGACAGTAAGTGCTAAATTCAACACCCAGTCTAGCTGTTATGGAAATGGGAGGACTCTTTTGGGGAATGACAGTGTTGTTCTGTTTCACTGGGGGCTGAATGATTTGACTTCCATAAGACACAGAAGATGGTGTTTGAAAGAGCAAGCCCAAAGTGTGTGGAGTACCCATTTCCACACTGCATAGAAAAAAAAATGTGCTTCAAGAACTAGTGACCCACACTTTATCTTTCTGCCTGAAACAAAAGGTCATTAGCTTTTCCCACCAGCTGCCTGGTGGTCAGTCACTTCCCATGGAGAAAGAACTTAGTCTGTATGAACCAAGCAGCAAAATCTCTCTTTGTTTAGGCTGCTGCTACACACACCACCTCTCTTGTATTCTTCAGTCATCACCTTCACAACAACATTATTTGCTAAAAGACTACATACAGCTTAAAATACAAATAGTTCTATTCTCAGAAAGGACATGTGCAGCACCATTGTGCTCTCATGGTTGTGATCCTTCCCTGAAAACTGACAAATGGCAGTAAAATAAAATTCCCTGTCCAAGTGTCACATTACTGGCACAGATTTGAAAATTGTTTGTGATAGAAACCACCTAAGTGCTTTGGTCATGCTGCTATGCAGGTACGTTCGTCTCATCACCTGTCAGGACTTCTTTTTACCCCAGAAATGTCATTGAAACTTTGGTGGTTTGGTTGTGCTTCTGAAAAGCCTACTCTGTACTTACATCAAATGCATTTCTAAGATACTGACTGGTAGTAACAGTAAGTTATAAGAACAGTCTGATTTGTATTCCATATTTATCTAGATTTGAATACCAAAATTTTAACTGTTCCTGAACAATCTAATCTGGTTCGAGTTCTCAGATAAATACACAACTTTCTTATCTAAATCAATGTGGAGAGGGTTCTTTATAATCTTTGTATTTACCAGGAAATGTAAAGCATTTTAAAATATGCCCTTCCTCTTAGTCAATGTTTCATTTCATTGCCTTCCCCATGCTCATTTTTTGTTTTCCAAAGAAAAAATATGAGAAGAACTGTCTATTTGGAAATTTCACTTTGAAATATCTTGGACTGCTTGTCTTTTTTTATTAGAATGCAAAATGCAAAAAGAGTATCACCCATGGTGATGTTATCCTTCACTAAATTCCTTCTCATTCTGAAGCCACATCTTACTTGTTCTTCATAGTAGGGTGAACATCTTAGAAGAACTCGCTGTTTCTCCAAATGCCTGGAGTTTTCCCAGGGTTATTGGTCACAGAGCTGGCTGAGGCTTGAGCAGCAGCCAGCTGTGACAGAGGTGCTCAGCTCAATTTCAGACACTGGGCAGTGCCACCTTGCACAGCTCTGCTGTCTGCAGTGTCTGTGACACATCTGGGAGCCTTTCACTCTGTAGGCATTGCAGACAGACATCACCTGGAGGAGGAAGTGAGAGCCTGAAGAGCCTAGGGAGGGTCCTGATTTTTAAGTAAGGCCCCCTCACATCTTGCAGGGCTTCAGTATGGAAATACAATACTTAATTCTTACAGCATAGGCGCTTTTCATGTGGGAGATAGAACATTCTGGCAGAATCTAAGTGTGACCCAAACCAGCATTTAGCAAGAGAGGGAGAGGTTCAATTTTCAATATTGCTAGTCAGAAAGGATGACTTGGTGTTGTCTAGAAGCTGAGCTTCAGCTCCTAGAGCAGGAATAGGTGATAATATAAAAACAAATTTGCTCCTCTTAAACATTTATTTTTTTTATTTCTGAAGGAGGAAATAAAAATGCTCCTGTTCAGCCCATGTTTAACCAGCTACAATGAACAGTGGTACATTGTGAGACAGTAGAGTTGCTGTAAGGCATTATTTTTTATATATGGAAGTATTTTATATGTATGAAAATTAGTAAAATATAAATGAATCCTTTTCCCCCTCAGCATAGCTATTTGATATAGACTTCCAGAGGAAAAGCAGAAAAAACAGAAAAAATGATTATATAAATAAATAAATAGAATAGAATTAAATTTTCTGGCTGCTCATGTTTCATAATAAATAGAATAGAATTAAATTTTCTGGCTGCTCATGCTTCATCCTTCCCCTCTGTTTGTACCACCCTGAATGGTGTTAAATTCAGCATTTTGAACTTTTGGCCACTGCTTAAAAGTATGCAGCAAATTTTGGTGGGGTGGGTGGGGGTGGAATTTTTGGTGGGGAACAAGGTGGAAAGAGTAGACAGGGCTGTATTCTCAGGACTGTGATTAGTTAGAGTACAAGGAGCATACACCTGAATCCTGCCTGACGCTTTGCTCTGCAGAAAGCAGGGATGGGAAAAGTTCTGGGACCCAGAAGGGTGTGAGTCTCGGATAGACACAAAGGATAACAGATTCTTGATGGTTTGATTGCAGTAAAGCCTTATAAGTCAAGGCAGGAGAGAACTGTGTCATTTTTTTTGCTCAAGTCACTGTCCAGCTTCTCACATGCCAAAAAATTGTGATTAAACAGAACCAGGCCCCCAGCTTGCGGCAGGCTGTCAGCACCAAATCTTCTCAATGCCTTGACTTCTGAAAGACATGCACTGCTTTTCATTAACATCTTTCTATAGTCTCTATATAGCGAGCTACAGAGACTCAGAGAGTAACACTGTGTGGCACTGTCAAGCATCCCTTCAGCCAGGAACCTGAGTCCATGTGTCCCTTGATGGCTGAGACACATCCTGGGAGCTCTTGTTAAAGACATCTGGCAAAACAGATATTCCATCATGACCACGAGTTTTCTAAAAATTTGGTTCAGAAATGACCCTGCAAACTTTCCCAGCAACAACATTTTTGCCTGGTTACTCCTGATCCAGCTGCCCCAAGCCCAAAGCTGATGTTGACCACCACTCTTGCGTTTCCAGTTCCAGAATGTTTTCAATTCTTGCTTCTTTTTTATCAATGAAAAAGATACATTTTTTGTTTAATTGAGAGCAAAATCTTCCACTGTTTTCCTGTACTTTGCCAAAATAAGTACGCTCATTTAAAGAAAAAATACTCTATTTTGAGGTTTAATATTTTTAGCAATATTTTTGTCATATAAGGACTTTATCTTAAATGAAGAACACACTAATTTTGCTGAGCTATATTTGAGCAGATGGAGCTTTTCTCTATGAGTTCAGAAGTTCTGGAATTTTCAGAGCCTGGAAATAAAGTAAGCATTCCTTTTCCAGAGACTATTCCCATGAGGCCGCCTTCAATGGCATGATATCCAAAATCTTAAAAATAAAACATAATTAATTGCTGATTAAACAAAGGGGGGGGGGGGAAAAAAGGATCTTCTATCCACCCACTGCAGACAACAGATGAAACAGCAGTTTATAGGCTTGAATTTAACAGACCAACATTTAGTTGCTGTTGTCTAACACACAGAGCACAACTTGAAGCTGGCAAATACCCTGTGTGTGTTCACATGTACAAAGTAGGCAAGTTAGCATTAAAAGACTGTGATTCTTTTGCTCATTCTGGTAAGCAGCTGCTTATATGAGTAGCCCAATCATGATGGGGAAATAATTCTATTCTTAACCCTGTCTGAGGGCTAATTGCTCACCAGTGTCAGTAAGAACCTTTCAGACAAACCCATCCCTGTTTCAGTGCTCCCCATACACCTCAGCTTTTTTAGCCTCTTTCTGCTTCAAAATAGTTCCACTGTGGACAATAGAAACATTTTCTTTTTCAGCAGAGCAAGACTTTTACATTATTTTGCCAATTTAAAGCATGATTGCAACACAAGGCAACCTCTTTTTCTGCTTTACAAAGTAAAAGAAAAATAAATTAAATTCTGCATAAGTTTTATCTATTTTCCACTTTCTCC